CAGATCACTACCAACACCAAGGAAATACAAACGATTTTAAAAACATACTATGAACAGCTATACGCCAATAAATTAGGCAATCTAGAAGAAATGGACGTAATTCTGGAAAGCTACAAACTACCAAAACTGGAACAGGAAGAAATAGAAAACCTGAACAGGCCAATAACCAGGGAGGAAATTCAAGCAGTCATCAAAAACCTCCCAAGACACAAAAGTCCAGGGCCAGATGGCTTCCCTGGAGAATTCTATCAAACGTTTAAAGAAGAAACCATACCTATTCTACTAAAGCTGTTTGGAAAGATAGAAAGAGATGGAGTACTTCCAAATTCATTCTATGAGGCCAGCATCCCCTTAATTCCAAAACCAGACAAAGACCCCACCAAAAAGGAGAATTACAGACCAATATCCCTCATGACCATGGACGCAAAAATTCTCAGCAAGATACTAGCCAATAGGATCCAACAACACATTAAGAAAATTATTCACAATGACCAAGTAGGATTTATTTCCGGGACACAAGGCTGGTTCGACACTCTTAAAACAATCAATGTGATTCATCATATCAGCAAGAGAAAAACCAAGAACCATATGATCCTCTCATTAGATGCAGAGAAAGCATTTGACAAAATACAGCATCCATTCCTGATCAAAACTCTTCAGAGTGTAGGGATAGAGGGAACATTCCTCAACATCTTAAAGCCCACAGCAAATATCATTCTCAATGGGGAAGCACTGGGAGCCTTTCCCCTAAGATCAGGAACAAGACAGGGATGTCCAGTCTCACCACTGCTATTCAACATAGTAGTGGAATTCTAGCCTCAGCAATCAGACAACAAAAAGACACTAAAGGCATTCAAATTGGCAAAGAAGAAGTCAAACTGTCCCTCTTCACGGATGACATGATACTCTATATAGAAAACCCAAAAGCCTCCACCCCAAGATTGCTTGAATTCATACAGCAATTTGGCAGCGTTGCAGGATACAAAAATCAATGCCCAGACGTCAGTGGCATTTCTATACACTAAGAATGAGACTGAAGGAAGAGAAATGAAGGAGTCAATCCCATTTACAATTGCACCAAAAAGCATAAGACACCTAGGAATAAACCTAACCAAAAAGGTAAAGGATCTATACCCTAAAAACTATAGAACACTTCTGAAAGAAATTGAGGAAGACACAAAGAGATGGAAAAATATTCCATGCTCATGGATTGGCAGAATTAATATTGTGAAAATGTCAATGTTACCCAGGGCAATTTACACGTTTAATGCAATCCCTATCAAAATACCATGGACTTTCTTCAGAGAGTTAGAACAAATTATTTTAAGATTTGTGTGGAATCAGAAAAGACCCCGAATAGCCAGGGGAATTGTAATAAAGAAAACCATAGCTGGGGGTATCGGAATGCCAGATTTCAGGGTGTACTACAAAGCTGTGGTCATCAAGACAGTGTGGTACTGGCACAAAAACAGACACATAGATCAATGGAACAGAATAGAGAATCCAGAAGTGGACCCTCAACTTTATTGTCAACTAATATTCGATAAAGGAGGAAAGACGATCCACTGGAAGAAAGACAGTCTCTTCAATAAATGGTGCTGGGAAAAATGGACATCCACATGCAGAAGAATGAAAGTAGACCACTCCCTTGCACCATACACAAAGATAAACTCAAAATGGATGAAAGATCTAAATGTGAGACAAGATTCCATCAAAATCCTAGAGGAGAACACAGGCAACACTCTTTTTGAACACGGCCACAGTAACTTCTTGCAAGATACATCCAGGAAGGCAAAAAAACAAAAGCAAAAATGAACTACTGGGACTTCATCAAGATAAGAAGCTTTTTGGGATCCCTGGGTGGCACAGTGGTTTAGTGCCTGCCTTTGGCCCAGGGCACGATCCTGGAGACCTGGGATCGAATCCCATGTCGGTCTCCCGGTGCATGGAGCCTGCTTCTCCCTCTGCCTATGTCTCTGCCTCTCTCTCTCTCTCTCTCTCTCTTTCTCTCTCTCTGTGACTATCATAAATAAATAAAAATGTAAAAAAATATATTAAAAAAAAGATAAGCTTTTGCACAGCAAAGGATACAGTCAACAGAACTAAAAGACAACCTACAGAATGGGAGAAGATATTTGCAAATAACATATCAGATAAAGGGCTAGTTTCCAAAATCTATAAAGAACTTATTAAACTCAACAGCAAAGAAACAAACAATCCAATCATGAAATGGGCAAAAGACATGAAGAGAAATCTCACAGAGGAAGACATAGACATAGCCAACAAGCACATGAGAAAATGCTCTGCATCACTTGCCATCAGGGAAATACAAATCAGAACCACAATGAGATACCACCTCACACCAGTGAGAATGGGGGAAAATTAACAAGGCAGGAAACCACAAATGTTGCAGAGGATGCGGAGAAAAGGGAACCCTCTTACACTGTTGGTGGGAATGTGAACTGGTGCAGCCACTCTGGAAAACTGGTGCAGCCACTCTGGAACTGGAGGTTCCTCAAAGAGTTAAAAATAGACCTACCCTAAGACCCAGCAGTTGCACTGTTGGGGATTTACTCCAAAGATACAGATGCAATGAAACGCCGGGACACCTGCACCCCGATGTTTATAGCAGCAATGTCCACTATAGCCAAACTGTGGAAGGAGCCTCCGTGTCCATCGAAAGATGGATAAAGAAGATATGGTTTATGTGTACAATGGAATATTACTCAGCCATTAGAAATGACAAATACCCACCATTTGCTTTGACGTGGATGGAACTGGATGGTATTATGCTGAGTGAAATACGTCAATTGGATAAGGACAAAGATTATATGTTCTCATTCATTTGGGGAATATAAATAATAGTGAAAGGGAATAGAAGGGAGAAGGAATGGGTAGGAAATATCATAAAGGGAGACAGAACATAAAGACTCCTAACTCTGGGAATCGAACTAGTGGTGGTGGAAGGGGAGCATGGCGGGGGGTGGGGGTGAATGGGTGACGGGCACTGAGGGGGGTACTTGATGGGATGAGCACTGGGTGTTATTCTGTATGTTGGCAAATTGAACACCAATAAAAATAAATTTATTATTAAAAAAATGTATCAATACAACAGAAATTACTAAGTATCCAAACTCTTACTTGATACCATTAATGTTTTCTTCTCCCTATAAGGTTAGAATAAGTCTATGCTTCTTGGTACTATTTTTATGAATCTTCCATGTTATAATCTTAGATATACACAAATATTATTTGGTTAATTCAGGGCTTTCTTTCTTTTTTTTTTTTAAGTCAGGGCTTTCACACATTGTTTTCTCATTGGGACTTCAACAAATCGTAGAAGAATCAATGTTTCTATTGTTACTTTGACATAATTTAGGGCCAGGATTCCCTCAGTTGAGAAGGCATCCCATCTGTCTAAATACAAGTCCATTTTCCAGACAACTTCACTAGGGAAATTTATACATTACACAAAATGTAAATAAGAAAAATACAATGCCTCAGATCTTCTGGCGTCCTTCAAAATTAGAAAACCGGTTTCACTGCAAGAACTTATTTTCAGAAATCATAAGTTACAATATTATAAAATCCTCTAATTTCTTTTACTCACTCCAATCAACAGAAAGAAGTCCCCTCATTTCAATTCTGGGTTCCTTATTTGCTATAGCATGTGGAAGTGACTCTGATTTGACCTATATATATATTCTTCAGCACTTCCAATCTTGGAGAAAATTAGTCCATTGTAAAACTATTCCCATAAAGCAGCATCATTAGAAAACAGCACTAGATTCCAATAACCAAATACAGCCACCAGAGTATTCACAGCCAAGCTATAATATAGTAGTTGAAATTTCCCCAGGGAACAGACTCCACCTCAAACTCAGTACACCAAGAAATCCACTGCATTGGTATTGCCAGTTTCTGTCCTACTTAAAATATCAAGAAGCAGATGCTTAAAATAAAACAGGGGCACCTGGCTGTCTCAATCGATAGAGCATGCAACTCTTGATCATAGCATCATGAGTTTTAGCTCCACACTAGGTTGTAGAGATTACTTAAAAATAAAATTCTCAAAAAAACCCCAAAGTACTTCAAATTATGTTGTTCTGTGACTAACAGAACACAAACAAGATAAACTTTGCACCCAAGTAGAAGTTTTAGGCAGAAATTACCATGTCCTGGAAATCAACACACTATTCACTGAGATCACATCCATTTTTCAAAAAAATTCATGGATACTTGTAAATTTTTTTGGTCATTTTATTCAATGTGAACTTGGTGAAAATTTGTATACTCGATTCATTATCAAAAAGAATTTTACTTCCTCAATTTGAAGTACATAATTTAAATGTGTATTGGTAATTTTTTTCTCTGTATAAAAACCAAGGCATTTTCTACATGTCCTGCTGCAATCATTTACTGACTTCTCAGATCTGAGCCAGAAACTCCCAAACTGCCTAAGGCCTCCAGATGACCCTTAAAGTATACTAAAGTTGAGAAAGTTTGATGCAATCTAAGTTGTCTAGAAATATACAACTCTATCCTTTCCTGTAATTGTATAAGGAACAAAGAGTTGATCAACACATATTCTTGATCAGAGTAATTTCAACAGTAGACATAATACTGCCAAGCCATCTCCAGAAAAGAGACACACAGGGTCTAACATTACAAAGCTGGCTGAGACCCATACATTGAAGTTAACAACAAAGAAGCCGATAAATGGCTGTAATTCTGACTCCTAGCCTACATGGACTTGTCCAATATTTAAACAGGGGAGCTTTCCTATTTCTAACAATTTAAAGAATCCTAACACTGCTCTCAATTTACAGGTTTCCATCACACTTCTACAACATTAAGCAGATGCTATAATCACTTAAACCTTGTCTTTTTTCCTTCTCACCTTATTTTATCATATACACCTATGCTCTTACCATCTATTGCTAATTTGTTCCTTCTAAAAACTCTCACCAATGTGTTCCTATCATAAATTAGCTTGGCTAAACCCCGGATTCTCTTTGTAGGAATGAACGTTGTCATTAGGTTCAATAAACAAGGAGTCTAATCATCAGAGCCAATTCCCCCTTCCAAAAAAGGACAAAAACTGATCATTATCTAGAGATTCCTATTATAGAGGATTTTCTTTAGATGCAGCACCCCAAGAAATGGGTTATCTGGGGGCATCTAGGTGGCACAGTTGTTTAAGTGGCCGACTCCTGGTTAATGCTCAGCTTTTCATCTTAATCTCATGGTTCTGGGATTGAGCCCTGCATTGGGCTCTGCACTCAGCATGTAGTCAGCTTCAGATTCTCTCTCCCTCTCCCTCCTGCTCTTTCTCAAATTAATTAATTAAAGTTTTTTAAATGGCATTATTTGGACAGAGTTGAGATAGCAAATACCACTGCGTGCTTTCTCGCTGTATTAACTGACCACCTTAGGCTGTACCAAACATCCCAGATTAAATGACCTTAAATTAACACTACTCCCGCACAGACTGCAAGGAGTATTTCCTTTCTCCCTCATTCAAAAGTATGTTTCTAATATAATTCAGTTATAGTAACTGAATTCATCTAGCATATCCCTACTTGGGCAGAATCAGGAACACGGAAAAAAGCCAAACAAATATGAGGTTATAAATATTATAAAATTTCTGGCAGGGAGGAACAGGGAGTTGATAAGGGAAAGACCTGTGAAAAGACTTATCCAACTTGCTCCTTTAAAAAAATGTGATTTTTCTGAATCCCAAAAGCTTTTCCTATAAACTACTACTTGTCATAGTATCAACACCCATGTTATTTATACATACATACATACACACAAACATACATACTCTACCTTTCCTTATCAAATTAAGGAATCTAAGGATAAAATCCTGGTATATTCAATTTTTCTATGGTACTTTATAGTTTTCCAAAATTATCTAATTACCACTAAATACCCTCGTAACTATAATAAAGCAAATCACAAAGACCTAATCACAGAATGCCAATTATATATAACAAAAGGTCCATTACTCATACAAGATAAATAATGAAGAATACTAGCAGATTAAAGCCTTGATTCAAAATAAATGCATGGTATTTATTAGTAAATAAGTTCCTCTCCAGGGCTCCATATTAAATGCAAATTGCCAGTTTCATCCCCTTGAATCTAAATGAGTCAAAGCTTCTAAATTTCCATCTAGGACTCACCAATATACAGAAAGTGGTAACTTCCTAAGAGAATTAGAGTAACTCATCTGATGTATCTTTAAGCATTCTGCCTAAGGTGTAAATTCGCATTTCAGACCAAAGCAGTGTCAACAACAAACGAGCAATTTCTTTTTTTTTTTTAATAAATTAATTTTTATTGGTGTTCAATTTACCAACATACAGAATAACACCCAGTGCTCATCCTGTCAAGTGTCCCCCTCCGTGCCCGTCACCCATTCACCCCCACCCCCCGCCCTCCTCCCCTTCCACCACCCCTAGTTCATTTCCCAGAGTTAGAAGTCTTTATGTTCTGTGTTCTGTGGTAATTGGCACTTCCTCATAGTTTCCAGACACGCTCTTGGGAAACAAGTATAAGGACTGGAGCTGAATGACATAGTAATACTTACACATTTCATATAGTAATATATTTCTATATTATATATATAAGAAACAAAAACAAAACCATGAGTCACCTGGGTGGCTCAGTCAGTTAAGTGACTGCTTTGGCTCAAGTCATGATCTGGGGGTCCTGAATCATCAGGCTCCCTTGCTCAGCAGGGATTCTGCTTTTCCCTTTCCCTCTGCTGCTCCCCCTGCTTGTGCTCTCTGTCAAATAAATAATATATTTTTAAAAACACACACAACATAATAGCTACTAATTCTTTACTCTTGAAATTATCACTTGAAATTCATAATGAAAAAGATATACAAATGCCACAAACATAGAAGATACTCTACAAAAAGAAAACACAGTAGTGTAAATTAGAATCCACTTCCCTTTGTCTCATTGGAAAAATCTACACTTCTATTCTCCCTATTCCGCACAATATTGCTCAAAATACCTTATGAAATTTGCAACCTAAGAACTTACACTCAGAATATGTATGTCCCAAGTACTTGAATTGACACTTAGGCTGGACTTTAGAGTACTCACATTGAGCTACACTTCATCATGCTCAGTACACCTCATCATATCATCATAAACTCAATCAAGTTTACCAACTACAACTCTCTAAAGAGTTTAATACTTCTGGATAGTTTATCTCGACTAACCTGAAGTCTTTTAGCTTGGATCATCTTTATGTAACAATGTAAGTTAAATGGCAGCACTATCACTCAGCTGACACAGAAATAAGGTGAAAATATGGGAAAAAATTAAAGACAACAAAACCCTAGCAATGTGCCAGAACAACATTAGGATCTTTGGTGTTTTAGAACTAAATAGAATAGCTTATAATCTACTTCTACAAGCAAATCATCCAACAAATTGAAAAATAAAATATTCAAATATCTTAAGGATTTAGATTAAATTAAAAACATCTACCAGGGCAACCCGGGTGGCTCAGCAGTTTAGCGCCACTTTCCGCCTGGGGCATCATCCTGGAGACCAGGGTTCGAGTCCCATGACCGGTACCCTGCGGAGAGCCTGCTTCTCCCTCTGCCTGTTTCTCTGCCTCTTTTTTTTTTCTCTCTCTCTCTCTCTGTATGTGTGTGTGTGTGTGTGTGTGTCTCATGAATAAATAAAATCTTTAAGGAAATTAAAAAAAAATAAAAATATCTAACAAAATAATTAGAATCAACATACATGGTCAAATAAAATTAAGGCATATCAAATAGGTAAAACACAAAGTCCAACAAGAAGCCTACTGACACAAAGTGTTGAGGGCTCTGAGGTTGGTCTAACATCTCTGTCACAAAGAACCTAAGTGATATGGTAATATAACCCACATTATCAGGGAAAGAATAGAGCACTTACTACTTTTTCTAATATAGGTTTTCCAACAGAAAATAAATTATGGCTATCAGGAACTACATTTTCTTAAAGGTTTTATTTATTAATTAATGAGAGACACACAGAGTGGCAGAGACCTAGGCAGAAGGATAAGCAAGCTCCCTATGTGAAGCCTGATCCTGGAATCAGGCCCTGAGCCAAAGGCAGATGCTCAACCACTGAGACACCTAGGTGCCCCAGCAACTGTAATTTTAACTTTATTCCTGCTATAATAGCACAAATAAGGGGAGAGGGGAATTATGAAACATCAGCACACCTGATGTTTAAGGGTCCGGTGCTTGAGGATCACAATATTAGTCACTGGAATCTAACATTACATTATATGTTAAACCAACTGTAAATTAAATAAAAACTTTTTTAAAAGGAGAAAAAAAGAACCTATCTACATGGGGTAAAAATAAATTTTATATAATATGGGAATAGGTATTATCATTTACATTGACGTTGATGGAACTGGAAGGTATTTTACGGAGTGAAATAGGTGAATCAAAGAAAGACAATTATCGTAAAATGTACCAATAATATGCAGAACATAAGAAACATCATAGATGATCATAGGTGAAGGGAGGTAAACCTGAATGGGAAGTCATCAGATAGGGAGAAAAATTTTGAAGAGAGTCTTAATTATAGGAAACAAACTAAGGGGTGCTGGACAGGAGGCAGACGGGGGGATGTTGTAATTGGGTAATGGGCATTAAGGAGGCCCTATGATGCCATGAGCACTGGGTCTTGTACACAATTGAAGAATTACTGAATTCTTCATCTGAAATTAATGATGCGCTATATGTTGGCTAATTGAATTTAAATACAAAAATACAGAAATAGCCCAGAGATTTCAGGTGTACAAATATATAACCTCTCTACATCACTGTTATCCTCAACTATAAATCTAATACAAATAACTCAATATCATTAAACATCTGGTTGTTCTGTGAGCCTTTTTATTGAATCTTGGCTATCTCAACTACTTTTAAGATTAATATTGCTAACCAAAGAAAATTAACCCAGTCAAGTCTTCTAATCATTTCTATTCCACATTAGACCTACCTAAATTATAGGCCAAAAAACCCCATTATATTAACAACATGGATTCCAGAGTCAAACTGAGGTGATACTGAATGCAGAAGAAACTAGTGGATCTGTTTCTTCCAGTCTGCATCCCTGCCACCAGAGGATATGAAGGATAAAAGGACACATCCCTTTTAGTATAAGGAAAGTCCCTTGAGGTTTCTTCATGTATCATTTTTAAAGTTAAATGAAGTATATACTCTAGCCAACACCCAGTTGCTTCCCTTCACGGTCTACTCACTTTTGGTGGAGATGGACTTGCTGCATTAACACCTGAAGTCACTAATCATCATTCATACTAGAACAAACATATCCTTGGAACTGGATTTCAAATACTGGTTTCTTATTGGGCCTTCATCTCACATAAGCAAGAGATACTCTCACCCCTGTAAAATTAAACAGAACTTTCTTATTTCCACTTTTTGACCAAAAATAACTAAAAGGTATTCCTACAAACACAGTGTAAACTTCAATGACAAAGTACCTAGCTTACTAAAACAAGTCAAAATAGACACCAAATGGTTTTGGATTGGCTACTACTTAGGAAAAGCAGACTCCTTCTGTGTTAAGAGTATGAAGCTGAATATTAGACAGATACAGAGTCTAATCACAGACATTCCACTATATGGAAGTAACTATAATAAATCTAAAAATGCACCCCAACATTTTAAAAAATTAGTAATTCTGACACATTTCTTATACATCTACTATATGATAGGCTCTATACTCATTGATCACTGCAGACAACTACATAAAAACCAAAATAAATTGTCCACAAACATCAATGGTGTCCATGTGAAGACACTTACCCATACTCACTGCATTTCATAACATATATTCCATAAATATAAGTTCCTCTCTCATTCCTGGAAATCACTTAAGGATTCCGCCAACTCTGTCATTTAATTTTGATCCAAGAGATGGTAGTTTCCCTTTACACGTCCTTGCTTCCAACTCAGCATATGTGCATGCCTTCTGGGATCTAAGGATGAGTTTCCTTATTTGCTTTCAACAGCATATATGT